ATATGATTAGTTCATATATATATGATTTAGATCAGAATTCGGCGAGAGATGCACATTTCGGCTGATTCCAGCTTGGTTTCCTGTCCCTTTATTTCATCAACCCGCGTGCTGATTAAATGCCGATAGGTATTTAGTCTGCACATGGAATAAAAGCAGCATTTAGTCTGCACGGGGGTTGGAGATAAGCGGCATATAAATTGCGCGTTGCTTGGCGAGACCACGTATTAACTGCGTGCGAGTTAATGAGAGAAACCAAGCTAAAAATCCGTCGAATTGTATAATAGTTATAAAGCTGGTTTTCCCGTTGAATGCAGCTAGAGTTCACAACAGACAAACGCCAAAAACTTTTCTCATAAAATTGCAATCATTTGATCTCCGCGACCAATTACGTCAGCACGGATATTCACGTTTTGCTTCTATATACATTGCAACCGCACTCACGAGCGTGGCGCAATTTCGTCGCGCGTTCGCAACTAAAATTCTCCTATACAATCAGACTTCGTGATGATTTCAAAGGAAACGCAACAGAAATGCGTCTTCACGCGGCCACTCTTAAGGGCAACACAAAATCTCGAAACAATAGTTGGGCGCCAGGCACAAGTGAGCGTGTCACTCTTTCTCGAAATCACGCGATATTTTCCCTATACGATATTCTAACGAGCTGTGAACGCCGACGGGCTCTTAACCGGTAGCTCAGCCTCGGAAATGGCAGAGGATCGTTTGGAGAAGCGAATGGTGACGACAATAAATTACACAAGAATTGGTAATAGAAAGAATAACAACTGTATTTCATGAATCTCCGACTTTCGTTTGTACCCGTCGACAAGATCGTGGCGATAAGATTCGATCAAACGCAGTAACTGAGCCTCGCACAGGCCCCGATATGCTTTACGCGGTGCGTATCAATTCCGTTAGATCTCGGCGGCACGAGCTCACGCTACGTAAGGATATTTTTCGTGAATTATGCGAACAATAATTCGCCGCCTCTAAACTGCGATAGGATACGGTAACAACTTTAACGTGAACATGGCGTGACCTCGTGCTCGTTCGCGCGATATTTTCATCAATTGATTAGTCTTACTATTCTGTTCAAGTGTTAAGGTATAATTATCAAAATGTGATCTTAAAAAGTTACTTCGTATGCATATATAATACTGCCGGAGTTCTCATATTCGAAATAACGCTGTCTTTTATTCTTCATAACATAGCAAAGAAATAAACTGTTCAAATAAAAAAAAATGCATTTTATAGAGGATGAATAGTATATTTATTATTTCTAAGCGGAATTTCAAGACGTTAACGTCAACCTTATATTTTTTATTAAAAAATGTCAAACATCGCTAAAAAAAAGCCATTTTTTACATATTAAACTTTAATTATCTTGGAAATTTGATGTGCTAAAATCTTTTCGCTTACAGCATCGTTTTTAGCATCTAAAAATCTGTAAGAGACACGTAGTCCGGTTCAAAATAATTTTTTTGCTATAAACTACTCTAGCAGCATAATTCATCGCTCGATACAATGTTGGCTCAATATATCCCCAATGTATGCCAATGTTTAACCAACGTTTCGCCAATGAATTATTCTGCTAAGGTAGTGTTACTTATGCTATTTTTATACTTTATTTCTCTTAATTTAATCCAAAAAGTTCTTATTTTAATTTAATATCACTTATTGAACTTTAATTTTTTTGTCTTGATACAGTTTTTGTTTTGATTAATCTTTTCTCTAATAAAAAATATAGTAAATATTAAGAATAATGGAAGCAGTTCCGATAATCTTGGCCTTGACATATAGTACCTGTATGTTGTCAAGATCACGATCCTGAATAACAGGTTCTGTGACCTCCAACAGGTTTTAACCTGTCTCTCGTCTTTCGTTAAAAAGTTATTGTATTAACAAAAAGGTTTGAAAAAATGTACAATGAGTATCAGTTTAGACGAGGATATGTAAAATAGATTACATAAACTAATGATGATTTTTTGCAAATCATATTTGAGAAAAAAATAACTATGCGTATATAAGATGCTTGTTAGTCTCGTTATACATTTTTCAAACGTTTTTCCATCATTACAGAGCGTTGCGTGTTATCTGTATTGCATCGGCAATCGTAAGGCTGAATACATTAAATACCGTAACATATGCATTTTGGACTGTGTACGCGTCAACACTTTATGCATGTTGTTCCTCTCAAAAAGGATAAACAATTTGACATTTTCTAAGATTTCTGGATATTTATCCAAACAATAAAATATGTACAATTACAAAGTATTACAGTACAAGCAATATTATCCATTTAGAAAATATTTTAAACCCGCTGTTTCGTTTTTTACCTTATTTACGATTCTAATCGAAGTTCATAGACTATTTTGCATATTTGAATAATATTGCTAATACAAGTCTATCGATATTAAAATATGATAAATTATGGCATCAATTTTGATGTCTTTCTCTAACACATGTGGCCTTTTAAGATTTATTTTTAATATAACGTTTGCCAAATTTATAAAGGCATGAAGATATTATTCTTTAATTATTATAATTATCATTATATATATACATATTTAAGCAGGTATTTATGTTTATTTTTATATATCTTTAATATATAGAACTTTGAATAACATTAATGGAAATTTATTGATCGTTATTTTCTTTTACTTTTATACTTTTATAAAAAAAGTACTACATTTTTAATAAATATTTATTCCTTCTTTGAATTCTTCAATAAATAGATTTAAACTGATGAAAATTCTATAATAGTTAAAACGTATTGCTGTCAAAGTTATAAATATAAATTATTATATTTTCTAACACCTTACTTGTTCGATCATTGTTTATTTGCAATTGTATTATTATTGCTATGCAACTGAACAAGCATTAATTTGAATTGTTTTGTTTAATAAATATTTGTTTGAATAATACTAATTTAACATTTACTTAAGGTAAATTAAATATTTATTAAATAAAAAAAATAGTTAAATCAAATTAACGGTTCTTGTATCAAATAACTAAATAAATATAAATAAATATGTTTATATTTAGTAAATATTTAGCTAATATTATTTAAACAAAAATTTAATTTAGTATTTTTTTCTTAAGATATATGAGTCACCAAAGAACAAATTGTGTGTAAGTGTATTTTTATATGTGCATATATTTTAACGAAGAAAAAAGGAAATTTTGCAATTCATTCGACGCACTTTATTGATGCATTGCGCATACAGACAGCATGCTAAAATAAATCACGATGTGATTTAATTATAGTCGAGATGTAAACTGAAACAAAGAAAGACAATTTCTTCTAGTTAAAAGACAATTTTATTATACAAGAATAATGTTTAATAAAACACTCATTGTGATCACAACAATCAGTAATGTGATGTATGCGGTTTGATCTAAATCATATTCACCGAAAAATTATCCAGGTAATTAAAATTTAAATAAAATTTTTTTATCAAGTCTTATTATTATAAATGCATCTTTAAACTAGAAAAGTCTTATTTTTATAAATTTTTATCTGTAAACTGATAAGTGAGATTATAATTAACGTTTTTTTTTTTCTTATAAGAGAAACAACGCGCTGAATCCATTGAAGACACATGCTGAAGACAATTACATCTTTACTTATGAAAAAAGATCAGTTTTTCATCTATCCTTATAACAGACGTACAGCAGTGTATAAAATACATTGATGCATTTATACAGCCAATATTTTACGAATGGTTAATAATTTTTATTTAAGATTACGTGCACGTGTCATAAAATATATTATAAAAATCGCTTTAATTTATTATTAACATTCGTTCGCACGTCTTATAAAAGTCTTGTAAAAGACTATCACTCATTAATTATTCCGATATTGACTACATGATTGCTAAATTTGAAGGATATTGTTGAATAATCAAATTCTATGAATGATTGAATGATGGTCTTTATTTCTGAAACCAGTTATTCATAGTTTATTGTTGTTATGACGACACAGAACAAGGTGGCCTTGCCTTTGATTGCTAGACGGTACAATCAAGGTCTCAGGTTTTCCACTGCATCCGAGTCTTCTTTGCATGTTTGGCTCTGTGGTGGGTTCATTGAATACCTCGATCTCGGACGGTGCAACACGCCTCTGCAAATCACCAAGTATTAGAGTTCAGACGTCACCGTCGAAACAACTTTAAATTCTCGTAATCGATTCTGCATCTCACGGAACAATGTGGAAATGGTGCCAATTCTATTGCATTTTGCTTATACATATATCCGTATTGGCGACGGAAAGGAAAACTGCCCTCGATTCGCCGTTTAACATCATGTTGCTCCGTGCCTTCCGAAATTGGAGTTTCGATGCTTTCGGTATGTTTAACTAGTGATATGAATGATACAAAATTCTTTGAAAATTCTATTCTTATATTTTCCTCGCAAATTGTACTAAAAACACGCTTAAGGCAAGAACACATGATAGACAAGTGTTGGCTGATGATTGTGTCGTTTTATGGAAAATAATTAAAATTGTGTTATACTCATATATGCGATTATACACACTACCAAGGATTTTTCATAAACGGCACAATAGTCGGCCTTTTTCTAGTACTTTTATTCTTATTATCACCTTATTATATTATTGTCAATGCTGAAATCTTTTTCTAAGAACAAGAGCGCACAATAGACAAGTGCGGCCGGCTGTTGTATCGATTATAAAAAATAATTAGAACTGTGTCATACTTATGTATACGATTACATACATATGCATTACGAAGGACTTTTATTTATAACACTTTGTTTATGTGTGCTCTTGTTCTAAATAATTTTTCAATTTTTATTTTGATATAAGATTACAATCATAGACGTTCATTTCAAATTCATTATTATATTAAAGCTAAAAATTTTATTAAAGCCATTTATGACGTTCCCGAATCGCCGATATAATAACACACGTGTAAGGGCACAAAACCATTAATACGCATAAAGCAATCAAAGACAATCAAAGTAACGGCGATCAACGTTAGAGAAGGAAGCGAGTTCATTCGCGCGTGTTGACAGCCAAGATCAAATTTAGGCACGGACCGTCTATCCTGGGAAATTGCTTGGCAATTTGTTTCGCTCGTTATATAATTTAGCGAGCAGAGATTCGCTGTAGCATGGGCGTAATTATATATCCATCAACAAAGCCTTGGCAAATTTTCGAACAAATATTAAGGGCACGTTCCACTAAATACTGTTAAATACATGAAAATAATAACGATGAAATCTTGTTGTTCGCGAGCGTCGAGTGGAACGTATAATTGAATCTTAATTGAATCTTAGCTGATATTATTTCATATCTACCTTGTTAATTTCTAAGAATACTACAACTCAATTATGCTTGAAAACGTTTATCTTATTCAGAATAAGATAAACGTACGAAGAGAATATATGTATACTAATCACAGAATATTCCATTTCTCTTGAGCAACATTTCTAAACAGATTATTTAATTATTTCATTTTGATCTTTCCTTAGCAAAAATATTAAAGGCTTAAGAATTTTTTAATTATAGGAGTGAAAGAAGAAGAAAGTCTTCTTGTAAATTAAACTTTGGAAGACTAAAATAAATTTTAAAATTATTTTATTCTTAATTAACTTTATGTGGAAATTTCATTAATATAATTATAATGTATTGTAAATAAAATTGATATTACAAAAATAATTCCAGAAATGATAAGAAAATATTTGCATGAGAAGTAAAATATCTAATATATTCTTACAATTTGTTTTGAAATTTTTGTTTTTTCAATATTTTACACATACAAATACATCATGATCTTTTCTTAACGTATAAAGCAGTTAACTATGCATATAATTAATGTACATCGATAGTGTGTAATAATAACAATTAATAATAAGGTAAGTTTGACTCAAAAAAATAATACACAATTTTTCCGTTATAAATGCAAAATATTTTGATGATAGACAGTATTATAAACATCTAAGAAACAGCGAGGAATCATGCATTATATTATTACGAGCTATTTTAAGTTTTTATATATAGATACGATATTCAAAGATACGACATGTGAGACTATACGAATGAAATAAATATTTATGTTTCCACAACATGTCATTAGCATTAAAGATGAATAATGCGTACTTAATTATCTGAATTTTTACGAATAATTGATATATTCTAAATAGTTAAATTATTGTCATTTAATCTAAATATATTTATTTATAATTATAGATTATAAATTTATAATTTATACATAAATTTATATTATATTAAAGATATATTTTGGAAATTTTGCGAAGCTGTGATATTACGATGCGATGATTTTCTAAGGACAAAAAATTCTCACGTTATAATGATTAAGGTCGTAATGGTACAATTTTTATTTACAATTTTGATTTTTTTATCTTGAGTTTTTTCTCATAAAAGTTGCTTCTACTGTATAATCAAACAATTATCTATTATTCTCAATATTAGCATAATTGTTTTGCTGACTAACTTTAATCAAAATAATAATAAACACGTGTACGTGACGTGACGATTATGACGTAGTCTAAAAGAAACAGTTTTTTTTTTCCGGTAAACGCGATGAGCGAATGTGACTCGCGTCTTCGCGGTACTTCTTCCTATTTTGTTTAGCTGCTCTTCTACATAATTCATCATCTTGTTTGATAATTCGATACACGTACTGTACTGCATTTAGGATCTCATTATTTTGTACTTTATTATTATTTAACTATAATACCTTCGTTTTTTTGCTAAATTCAACGTATAATTGAAAATGTTAAATTACATAATCGTGTCATAAATTCTATCCTAAAATAATAAATAAATAAATAAATAATTCTCTAAATAAAAGATAAATTTATTTAAAAAATGGACTTACTTTCTTCATAAATCTATTTTTAAGCATAGAATTTATGGCACGATTATATAAAAATCTGAACTTTTACATATAAGTAAAAATAATTTATTTCCTAAATTTAATTTTTTGAAGATAAAAAATTTATGATATTATATAATTTGACATTTAAGGTTACGTCTGATTTATAACTACACGAATCATGCGATAAATAAAAAAAAAAAGTGAAGGTTTTTTAGCAATAAATTAAAAATATTTATCAAAAGAAATAAACTGACAAAGCAATATTAAATGTATAATTTATACATTTTTGTTTTAAAAAAATGGATTTATTGTGTAAAAATAAATTTATAAAATAAAATGTATAATCATTTTAACCAATTACAATGTATAAAAATAATCATAATTAATAAAATATTATGTTTATTTTCACAAATTGAATTTATCTGAAGAAATTTGTGATAAAAAGTAAATATTTTTGATAGTTATGATTATTCTTGTATTGTTGATCAACAGAACGAGTACACATTTTATATTATTCTGTACTTTATTAAATTAAGTCAATCCAAAAATAGATTTCATTTATTTCGTATAATAAATCTATTTTTAGAGATAATTTATAATGCAATGATATTGTGATATTGTGTGTATCATCTTCTTTGTAAATTGTAACACCCAATTTGTTCTCGTAGGTAGAACAGGAATGGAGGAAAAATATCTGCAAATAGCAAGACAAAGAAACAAAATGCAAAAAAGAATTCCCAATTATGTTCCATTTCCTTGTAATGTGACAGGTAGGTTCTTGAGAATTTATTTTATATTTTTTTTTATCAACAATTATTTATTTTCATAATTATTTTGCCTCTTCACAGGTTAGTATGAATATATACTTTTATAAAAAAATATTGTCATTAAAAGTTATAAGGCTTTATAACTTTTAAATTATACTGGTAATTTTTCTTTAATAACAAATAAATAAGGCATTTTACTTATAGTTCAATATTTTTTAATGTTTCGTTTAACTTAATTAGAATTTTTCTTTTAGCAAAATTATTTGTTGCGCAGCATTATATATATACAATAAATAACAAAAATCTAAACAATTTTAATAATTTAAAATTTTATTACAGAGTAAAGTTTATTTAATTAAAAAGTGTGTGTGATTTTATTTCAATCATTACTACACCATATAAAAATTACTGCATGTCAGTTCAAGGTTTCATTGAAGAATAATCGATTCCAAGTTGTGTAGTTAGCAAATTATTATTAAAACAATAATAGACTGTAAAACAATGTGTATTTGAAAGGAATCCGTCTGATTGACGATAAATTTTAGATAGTCGGTCGCCAGAAGTGCCAGAATCGGTGCATAAATTAAGACCAGGTGATATTGATGTCATTGCTGCGATGGGTGATTCTCTTACAGCTGGAGCTGGAATTTTTGCAGACAACGTGCTTCAAGTCGCCATAGAAAACAGAGGAGTTACTGCGGCTGGTGGAGGCCAAGGCACGTGGAGAGAATATTTAACTCTTCCCAACATAATTAAGGTAAACTAAAATTAAATTTGACGACCTTTTTAGAGTCGTAGAATTTAATTTGCAACATGAACAACGTGTAAGATGTAATAGATAAAAAATGAAAAAAAATTGGTAGTAATTAAACGTGATAGAGTTAAATCATAATCAAAATCATAATCAAATGTAATTGAAATATTTAAAATTATTTACGTGATTTACTTTTTAATTACATTTCGTTATGTATCTTTAGGACGTGTTTTTTTTAAATAAGGATAAATGTTGAAAAATTAAATACTTCTGTTATCATATGCACGTATTTATAAATACATAGATATTTTAATTTTTACACATACATATACGTATTTCGTAAGTTTAGTTTTGAATTACATAAAATTGATTACCGATTATTCCTAGTATTATTCCATAAATGCAATGTTATGTATGCGTTATATTTAGAAAATCTGGTCACGAATGATTTTGTCAAGCTTTTACAAGAAAGAGAAAGGTATATACACTTTCTCTTTGTAAGTATATATATATATGTGCGTGTGTGCGTGTGTGTGTGTGTGTGTGTATGTGTGTGCGTGTGTGCGTGTGCGTTTATAATTCTAGTTGAAGTTGTAAAGTAATAGTATAAGTTAACATGAGATAATATACAGAGAAGAATATATGTATTTTTCTTTTTTATAAATTTTTTATAAAATCATTCTTGATCAGATTTTTATTATAGAGTATTTAGTTATATTATTATTTAATAGCATTTTTCGTTTGATCACAGACTCCGAGTCGATTATTTTTCATTTCTTACGTGTAAAGTATAAATAAGTAACTTAAAAAATCGCCGATAAGATTAAGAATTTAGTCTCTTCGTTTTATTATTAGTTTGTCTCTTTGTGAATTCTTTCTTAATAAACAATAATTAAAAAACGCTTTTAATCTTTGAAATATTATATAATTAAAGCTAAACTATATCAGGGCTAATTAAATTTTATTAATGAGAGTCAGCGCAGTTGTTAAAACGAAAGTTATTAATTAAAATTAATTAGGTGTAGATGTCTCTTTTATCAATTGAACGTTTCAACTCTTTTCTCCTCAGCATATACAGATAAATAAAGCTGGGATTATATGAAAATACTTTATGTTATTAATATGAATACCAAACACTTTGCACCTACAATTACGTAAAAGCAAAGCATTAAAACCTACTTTTATTTTGCATATTTTGCATATATGTGTCTTTTTAAGCATATTTCTTGTAAAATTGCATATTTATATTTTGTCAATTATTGATTGAAATATTATACATATGTACGATCATTTATATGTTTCACTTTCTATCGTTTAATGATTTCACTCGTATAATGCGGGTACTAAACCGCTGAAGTACGTGAATCTAAAGTAGACCATACATGTTTGAACATACTCGGCAAGTATCAGTTGGTAGCTAGCTCGGCGGATATGCGCGACGCGCGACTACCTCGAGCTCATCTGTTTGCCGAACATGTCCTGATATGTTCGACCGTGTTTGACCTCCCTAAAAGATGATGCGCAGTGTAGCTAGTCAGTTGAAACGGATTAATTGCACTGATAACTTATTATATTTTTATTAATATTTCTTTCTGTGCTTTTCATTTAATAAGCATACATATATATATTGCATATTTTTGCATATTTTTACATCATTTCCTAATATTTTTGCATATTTTTACCAAATTTTCTGCATATAATATGTGCATATATTTTTGTTTTTACGTGCATATACAATAATTCTTAACTTAAGATATAAATATAGATATAAATATAACTAAATGTAATCAAGAAAACCAATATAATTAAAAAGCTCAGATGTACATCAAGATTTTTTTTTTAAATTATGTGTGACGTATCATACATTGTTATCAATTTTGAGATGTCAGTGTCGGTAAAATGACAAGGCAATCGACATTTTCTTCGCAATACACAATTCAATATCTTTGACTTTACTATTTAAAGAAACGTGACAAATACAAAAGAAATAGTTGCAAAAGAGTTTTAGCATAATATTAACATAGTCATATTTTTGTTTCACGTTGGACTGTCCCTTACGAACTTTCGCCAATGATTGCATTCGATCTTCACGAGTGTCTCGTATTTTAGAGATTATGTATTAAGCGTGTAAATTGCAATTTGCTGCCTCTTAACTTTTGAACAGTGGATTACCAGCACAGCCATCGATTATTCCTGACTAATAACAATTTATTTTATGTATGCTACAAGCAGCTTTTTCAAAATCATGTTTACATTGCAGCCTTGACAAAAAATATTAAGCGTATTCTTTCCTTACTTTAGTAAATGTCTTACAGAAGATTTTTGGCCAAGATTATATAGCATCCTGAAATATATTCTTTTCTGAAAGCTTATATTGTATTGTTATATAATCTTATATAATAAAAAGAAAATAGGTTTTTTTTTTACCAGAACATTAAGCAATTTGCCGAGCGAAAGTTAACGTAATTTAAGACATAATACTAGTTAATAGGATCATTATCATAATCAACATTAAGCAATATTTATAATTATGATTTTTTTACGAGCTCTTTAATTTCTTTCCTTATTTTAATAAATGTCTTAAGAAAATGTTCTTTTCTTTTCAATTTATTTTATTTTAAATAATTTTAGAGAGTTTACAATTAAAATCACAATTTTTTATTTTTAATTTGGCTGAATAATAATTAAAAATATTCATATATATGAATCGGCTGGACAAAGATTGATTTAGATAACAAAAATTATATTCTGAGAGAGGAGTAACTTTGAAAATTGGCAATTATAAATAGAAATTGAATCGATAAGAATATATATATATATAAATTATGTGAAGCGTATCTTGATGCTTAATAGCTATCATATCCAAATTTTTACAAACATATCTAAAGCAAGCTTGTCCAAATTCGGCTCGTGAGTTGAAACGCTTTCTATCTGTCCGCCGTCGGTAGAGCGAGACGACACGCGGAAAAATAGAAATGTTTCGGCTTACGAGTCAAGTTTTTGACAGTCCTGATTTAAAGACTGATCAAATACATGTACAAATTAATCATCCATAAATTTTTAATACATTAGGAATTCAACCCCAATTTGATAGGATTTGCATTGGGAGACTCTTTGACTACTCACAAAGAATCACAATTGAATATTGCTGAATCCGGTGCCGAATCCGCGGATATGATGTACATGGCGGAGATGCTGGTCAAGAAGATAAAAAACGATCCGCGGATAAATGTGCAGAAACATTGGAAGGTACATTGCGCTAGACAAATTCAATTTGTTACAAACAACGAAAAAAATTCAATACAGCATATGCTATTACTATGTTTCGTTGTTTGTAATTACTCAATTAAAAACTAAACGTTACAGTTTTAAGCTAACTTTTTCTATGGCAAAAAACTGAATGGAGCGTTTCATTGCTTGTCATATTTTGTTAAGGTAGTTATACTCCAACTATGCGAATCAATGACAGACTCAAACATGTTCCTAAATTTCAAGCAAATACATATATCGTTATGTAAAATTTAAAAATAATAAAACGAAGTATTTTATAACTTATAATATTAAATCATAATAAAATAAATTAATTTAAAAACAGGAAACGTCCTTCGTATCACGTAGTAAATAAAAGAGAAATTAGATTGTGGCAACATCGTATTTTTGCGCGCAGACAATCAATATAAGCACAATATATCTGTCAAGATATTTATACGAAAAAAAATCCAGACAATTGCGTTAAAAAGGAAAATATATCAAAAGTAGTTTTAGCAAAAAAAGTAAAGCGGCTCTCGCAAAGAAACGACAAGAATGCGAAAGACAATTTCCTTATCGGTCCTTGAAAATGCGACGTTGTTATCTAATGGACATCATCAGTTCTCGAGAAAATGTATAAAATCAAGATTTTTATTACTCAAACTTCATATCATAAATATTTGCAGTATTGTTACACAAGTTTCCTCACAAATTTAACTATTTGAGACACGTTTGTTATTAACTTTTTGAATGTGATTTCGAGGCTATATGAAAATTCGTGTCGCATCACAGCAAAAATAGCTATACTACAATGGTAGATATACAAAAATCTGCGATATTTGATTGATTATATATCAGGAACGGGACGATAATTCGAGCTTATCTTTTACAGGTATATGTATAAATATTTAAATTACTTGAGAAAATTTCCAGACATTCTTGGATAATGTATTTCGGAATATAATTATCTTAATTCGCTACAATAAAATATCTTGTTTTTGTGTAAAAAATTCTGTATTCTTATTAGAGCTCGAAAAGGAACCGAGTAACGTAACATTCAGGTATCCGCCCGCGAACCCGTTACCTGTGCACACAGATTTAGATTGGTCCACGAATAAAAGTTATCGCCGAAAAAGTTTTTCCCGGAAAGAGAGAAAAAAAGTTTTATACAAAAGTTGAAGATTTTCTTGGGGAAAAAAAGATAGAAATAATGAATTTTATAAATAATGGATAGAAAGCACTATCAAGATCAGATCAAGATCGACATATTGAATTTTTTAAATAGGAAAATTCCCAATTTTTTTATTACATATTCTTGTAGCTGAAGTCAAGTTGTTTACAAAATATATACTATAATAAAGTACTTTTTTACGTACATCTCGCTTGAAAATTGCAGTACCGCCGGTATTAGCATTATCGTAGATATTCAATATGTCATTGTGTATTATGTCGACAATGAGAAAGGTTACTCAATTCTAAGTTATTGATGAATCTTATAACAGAAGAAATTTAGTACATAATGGCACCTTCAATATAAGATTGTCTCTAGTGTACTCGTACATGGTTTAGGAGTCATGAATTCTCTTAATTTGATTTATTTACACAACGAATCTGCATCGAATTGATAAAGGCATTATTGGATTTGAATCATATGAAGCGCAGGATATCATAAAATAGATAGGCGGATCACTAAGAACTTGAACATAAAACAGTAGGAACAGTAATAAGCATTTTATTATTTTTTTAAATTTGAAGTTATATGCGATTATACTGTATGTAATTGTACTAAGTTTTAATTTGTTCACTAAAGAGGATCATATTGAAGGTTGAAATGTAAGACATTTTAGACTATATTCTGTAAAAGAATTTTGTAATATATGATTTAGCGTAAATTAATTAGCCAAGTTCGAATAGTTTCGAATTTAATTTGAACAATATAATATTTCATAATTGTTTGTAGTCCAACTCATAATAAAATAGAGATTTTTAAAAGAATGACTGTTACCCGACTTTAAGGTAAAGAAAAATTATTAACATATCTTGATTCGTTTGTAGAGATTTTCCTTTTGTTTGTAGTTGAATATTTCAAAAGTTACAACATAATTTAAACTAATTAACTACAAATGAAATGAGAATTACTGACAATAATAAACTAATTTGATTAAAATTATATAAAATTATATAAAATCAAGTAAAATTATTTTGATTTGCAGTTGATTTCGCTAATGATTGGAGCCAATGACTTTTGTAATGAAATATGTTCGGTTTCATCACCTTGGTCAATTCTTGAAAATCACAAGGTCGATTTACTTCAGGTTTTGCGGATATTAAGAGATAATTTGCCGCGGACTTTTGTAGCGTTGATTCCGCCGCCACATTTAAAGAGCTTGGTCGATATTCGTAAAGAAAAATCATCATTCAAATGTTTTGTTACAACGGATGTCGAGTGTTCCTGCTTGTTTGGTCTCGCATTTCAACGTTATATATCGATATATTATGATATTATGCGACAGTAAGTGATTAATATAAAACAGAAAATAATCTAAATTATATTATTTATCAAATGTTAGAAATAATTACTTTTTAAAGTAATTTTAATTCATTCAATCTTTAATCATATATATATATAAAGTAAAAATATAACTGAATACAGCTGATGCCGAATATCAGATATTTTCTAGATATAAAACATATATTAGTGATAATAAGAATTTTTAAAGCATTTATACCATGATACACATCATTTTAATATAAAATTTTTTCCGTATATGTATATACATTACTAGAAATCAGATAGCTGGATATCCGGTTGCGTCTTTAATTATCAGATATCATATTAAATCAGAAATACATATTTAGTAATGTGTAATATTATAAATTAATATTGTTATTAATATATTATTATTGTCACTATAATTGATTGTAAAATGTGGATTGATTAAAAATTCGAAAATATGTATATTTTAGATGGCAGATCTTAGATATGGAAATTGCTGATTATCCAGAATTCCAAAGAAACGACTTTGTAGTTGTAGCCCAACCTACCTTAATGAACATAAGTATACCACTTGATTCAGATGGATATTCCGATATGACATATTTGAGCAGCGATTGTTTCCACGTTAGTCAAAAAACCAATGCTCGTTGTAAGTTTACTCAGAATTCTCTAAGAAGTGTTTCGCTAATAATTAAGTGAATAATAAAAAAAGCTATTAAATATTAATAATCAAATTAATAGTTAAAAGATTAATTTTTTATATTTAAAATGTTTTGCATAAAATGCGTTTTATTTCTCAGTTCGATATTTTATAATAAAACAATGTGAGAAAGTGTAACAATATTATCTGGTAGAATGTTATACTAATATTAACCAGTTTGATCAGTTTAACTACCTCCACGTAGTAGTGGATTTAGATTGCCAAATTGTAACAGTCGCATTAGCATTAAGTTAGCTTACGTTTTTAAATAGTATAAAAAGAATTTGGTACAAACGTTCAAATATGTTTCATGAAATTAAACTAACTCTAACTAATGTTAAAATAAAATTAGAATATTTTTAATTATTCAGGATAATTCGAAAAATTATTTCTAAAAAAATCTTTTCTATTTTTGCAGTTGCAAACGGTTTATGGAATAACTTGTTAGAAACAGTGGGTGCTAAATCGATGACATGGATCGAACCTTTTCATAAATTTCACTGTCCAACGCTGGAGAGACCCTATTTAGCTACAGCATTAAATTCAAAGTAACAATTTATTACTACTACAACTACTTCTGTGTTTAAAATGAGAAATATTGGCACTTGACGAAAGAGAAAGTGTCGATAGCATTATTAGGTCATCAATCATAGTTGCGATCCTATGATTTTTAAATAGAGTAGCAGTATCAATTATTTAAACAAAATGTCATGATGTATTTATTAATCCTTTATAGAACAGAAATGGAATAGATAGAAGATTATTTCTATGTCAATTTTATTCTATGATACTATAAAGGATGAAATAATATTAATTTAAATAATTAAATAATATTAATTTGTCAAATACTTTATCATTTGCCATCTTCTCTGCAGATTGAATATGTAATTTAATTTAATAGTAACTTGATATATTCTTAGAATATTATACCGTGCAATAAACATGTGAACGACGCATTTAATGTTATTTCCAAAAAATAATTCAATAAAAGAGAACTTTTTAATAAATACTTAAAAAAATTTATCTCTCTCTACGTATGCGATATGAAATTTTAAACGGGTTTGAAAAGCGCATAAAGTCTTATCGTAATATTGGCTGTAGCCTCTTACTCACTCTTACTCACGTACCTCTACCGCATAGGAATTCGAAAGAATGCAGGGGAACCGTAAATATGGTCATCGTACAAGTGGGGATTACATCGATGGCCACAAGAACGACTCTTTCTTCAACATGCTTCATTCATGTTTAGTAATGTCATCCGGTAGTATCGGTGAAGAATATCGGCCTCTTTTCTACATCTTTTTTACATCTGCAAATTGCTAAGTTTTTTATTTTGAAAGCAGTATAATTTATTAAATTGATTCGGCGCAATAAATTTGGTGCTTAAATAATTATATAACAGGTTTGTCGTTTTTTGTGTAAAAAAAAAACAAGGACAGTTTCTACTTCTTCTTCTAAAAGGAAGGAAAATGTTGATAATAGAATTGAAGAAAGCATCGTGAAGGAATAAGAAAAAAAAAACTGACCAAGGAAAGGTCAGTTTTAAATGCTAGACTTACGTTCTCTGAAGAAAAATACAACTAAGATGGAAGATAACGAGAGTTACATGGCATTTGATTGATCTCTTAATCGTGTAACGATGCGAAATAATAAATCATCGCAAAGCAAGGTATATTTATATACGTATGTACTTACATATATGTATATCTGTATATTTATATATGTAATATATCCATCGCGTAAATTATAGTATGTAATTAGTCGAATTTACACAAAATAGATTTATTAAAAGTATTTAATTAATATTAATAGAAAGTTGTTAATTATTACTGATTCACGGAAAGATAAAGAAAGATATTTTTAATATATATGCACGTTTCTTGACATACATATATACATAGTAAAACGTTTGCTGTGCATCCATGTAGCCGTGTACGCAATTCAATATTTTTATGATTTTGCCTCTATTCTTTTTCATGTAACGAACGAAAAATTACATTTTCTAAAGATGAAGAATGATTTATGAAAATGCCCAGGAGGCTAATATGCGAGTTTAGACATCAGCGAAAGTATGTCTTATGTTTCATAAAGAAAATTCCGACGTAAAACGATGCTTTCAAAGTCTTCGTTGACACTTTTGGTTTTTTGTGAAATTATAAGAAAACATTGTTCATTGTTCATGTTCATTCCTATCTGTACATTTTCGAGTGATCGTTTTCTTTTTTTACGAGGGGACAGTCATCGACATATCACAACATTAATTAATGATGTGAGTTAGAATGTGAGGCAATTTAAAAAGGAATGTGAATTTAATACGTTTTCAATCGAACGATAGGCTTACGCAGAGCCAAATTTCGGGTCAAGACACCGGAAGACGTTCACTTTCTCTAAATCATATTATAGATAACGAAGTTAACGGAGCTAGAAAGAATTAAGAATTACAACTATATTATTGCGAAAGGAAATTATATAATACTTTCTTTTATTCTCTTTTTATTCTATTTAATTAAATTGTGCTTCTCTGAATTTCGTCAATTTGATGCTGTTTTTTATATCTTAAAACAATCTTGATAATGCTGAATGACGTATTATTAGAGTCCGACCGAAACTTTTTCCGAAACTGAAAACGAACATTCATTATGTGTCAGTTTCGAATGAAACCATATAGCTATTCTTTATAAATATTAATTTTAATATGGATATATTTACTGTTTCAATAATTAGACATTTAATATGTGTAATTCTATTAAGAGAATTGTCTATATATATAGCCTTTATAGAATTCTTATTTCTTAATTTTCGGTTTCGATTGAAATTGATATATGGTTAAGTGTTCAGTTACAGCAAAGTTTCGGTCAGACTCTATATGTATATTATTATCTCGCATAAAATGCAAGAGATTTTTTGCACCTTAGAACGAGTTTAATAATTCTGAATGACATATTATAATATGTAAAATCTCTTGCATTTTTATTATTTTAATAATGCTGAATGACGTAATATGTAAAATCTCTTGCATTTCGTGCGAATATGTCATTCAGCATTAAGATTATTCTAAGATGCGAAAAAGCATCAAATTGTTAAATTGCTATAGTTAATTTAACTCGTGATATTACTGCGGTTATAATTTAATAGAGCTTGCGTATATGTAATCTTTTAAAACGCGCCGAAATAATTTTTCGGTCTTGAAACGCAAACTCTACTAAACTATAACCGCAGTAATATAATATCACGAGTTAAATTGACTAACAATACAACAAATTGATGCTTTAATCCAAACTTTACAAGGAAAAATTCATAATTTCTATTTTTCTGGATTTATAACAAAATTAAGAAATTAATAAAGTTTTTTTACATTTTAGTATTTAATTAGCATTTTCAAAAATATAATTAGAAATATTAAACACAATTTTACTGTGTTAAAATTGTTGCTTGGAAAAAATGTAGTACAAAACGGCTGCACTTTGCCTTAAATTTAAAAAAAAAATTGCAGAATATAAATGTTTTTCTTTTATATCTAGTGAAAATTGGTTAGAAAATTGTTCGAAGGAATTTTATTATATAAGATCAACTAAACAGCTCTTTACGATGCGATAGGTAATCGCCGTTAAATAAACAAAAATCCGCTAGTGGCTTTATCGATATGACTCGTTGTATATATAGGTAATTAACGGTTTGTATGTGTATGTCAAAGTTTGCAGTTCTCTTCAGTCGAAGACGCGGAAGATCTGTTAGAGACGTTCGCGTTGTAGAATTGGAGGAAGCGCGCCGATGACAAGCGTAAGTCTCGTTTGACCAAGTCAAAGGCCGAATAAAATCTTTCAACATGGAATCATAGTCATTTCAAGTGCAGAAAAGTCTGAAGAAAATTGAAAGTGGACTTTCTTTGGTAGACAATTTTTAAAACGTTCGTCATTTTTGAATTATGAGAGCCGAAATAATTTGTTTGCTTCTCATCATCACTAGCATCCCTCTGGGCAAATGCGATCTCTTCATGGATTTTTTGCACAGCGTATTTCAGGGAGGAAGGGTAAGTTTATTATTAAAACTGCGGAATTGAAATATTGGTTGAATTTTTCACTTTAATTGAAAGGAGAATACGTGAAACATGTCAATTTTTGTTCTCAATTAAAAAAATAAGATGTGTAGATTTTTAAAACAATTTTTGAGCTGCAGAACAAGCTTAAAAAAAATGAATCAACCAATATTCCATGAACTTGAAGGGAATATGAAATATAAAATAAATAAATAAAGTGAGTAAATAAGCATAGATTTTTGCCATAAAAATAAATATAATATGATCGTCTTTAATATTTTAATTCTCAAAAACTTTATAAATATATTATTATACCTGCGCGTGTTGAGTAGGCCTGGATAATAATTATGTAACTTTTTTCTTAGGACAGAAATGTGAAAATTTTTTGTATATATGTATATATATGCACGCGTGCATACATACATAAAAATCTTCACTTTTTCATGTTCCCGCTCTAAAGAAAAAGTTATATAATCAGTATCCCAAGCAAATTGGCTCAAGTATCTGGTTATTAAAAGTTTAAAGAGTACGTCTTTGACGTTTTCGAACATTACGTAGTATAAGTTTGTTCATATTAAACGAATTTTCTTCTTTTGTAAAACGATGTCTCTTTATTCTTGAGTGCGATCGTTGAACGGAAGTCTGAATTTGTTCCCCGATCATAACAATATGACATTTCGTTGTGATAGAGTTGAGAAGGAAATAAATGTACCAAAACTCAAAGGATGTAAAATGAGAATCAGATACATTTTGCACGTTATCTTCCAGCCTCCTAACTCTAGATTCTAATGGTGTTCTCGGGGAGACATTATTAGCGCTACTTCTATCATCCTATTTTCGTTGTTCATTAGTAAAATAAGGATACAATAGCGCTAATAGCCTAGTCTCCCCGAACGCACTTTTGGTGCATTCAGATTAGAAGCATCAAGTGAGCAGCAAATGATGGATTAAAGATTTATGAGTCTCAAGTTTAGATGTCTACGGATAAACTCCAGGGATGCGTACAGACTATAACAGAAAGCGTCGAGCAGCGAGCAATAAAATCAATCAGGCGATATGGGCAATGTCCGAATTTGATACGCCACTGCCCGTATTGCCTCGCTGCTTGGCGCTTGATACTTCTACATATTATAGTCTGAATGTATCCCTGGAGCTTATCCGTGGACTTCTAAACTTCAGACTCATAAATCTTTAATTCTTAAATGCTATTGGGGATCCAAAAGACTCCAAGGCTTTTTCAATCGTATATATATTTTATAATCCCGCTGTTAATCGAATTTCGTGCTTCATCCATTAATTTAGATTCTCAATTGAAAATTATCAATTGAAAAGTTCGCAGCAAATCGGTCTCTGTATAGCAGCCAAATAGGAACGGCGCATTTCGAAGCGGGGTACAAAATATCCCCCCCCCCTCAGTGTGTCATTGCTTAAAATGTAGATATACAGGATGTATTTGAAATAAGAGGGTTAATTATTATATAATTGCATTAAATTGTCATTATTGTGAATTAGGAACTATTTATTAATGAACATTATAACTCCCACTAATCATATAGTGCTATTCCTAATAAAAAACTGAGTTGGAAAGTCCTCTACCATTTTGCAATTTACAAAATAATTAACAAGATATTAATTTCGAAAGATTGCTGAATAAATGGATAAAATCGATAAG